TTGAAACCGTTCCGAAGTCTGGCTACATAAGAGAATAGTAAAATAGAAACAACTAGATTTTACTGCTAGAAATGACAGTGGAGACAAGACGGGTAGTAATTCCTCGTGGTTTCATTTCTTACAGTATAATTACTGCAAGCAACTCGGGCTGAGTGTTGTGCCATCAAAAATAGGACAGCAATTCTCGAGCAGAAGCAACTATTTAATATAATAGAGGATCTTTGTAATCTCCGCCTTCAGTGTGCAATCTAGATCTGCGATCAGTTCTGATAATACGTTAGAGTAATCAACCGCATTGTTTGAAAATTAGTTTTTACATAAGATTTACGTGATATTTTTCAGGCGAATTATGTAAAATAATTTTATGATCTTAGATCACGGTATAATTTGAAAAGATTTAATTGTTTAAAACTGAATATATTTTGACTAAAAAAAAATATTCATAGACTGTGTAAGGTGTCATAGTTTAAGATGCCCTATCATTTTGTATTATTATTTCAACAATTCGTGATGTCATTAATACGTCAAATTAATCACGTACCTATTATATAAAAAGGCCAAGGTTCGTTTGTACGTCAAGATGCTGCTTAAAACGGGTTGTCGTGTTAAATAGGTCGTCTCCGAGTGCGGTGGCACGTACAAGCACGTAACGTTGCAGTTGCTTCACCGTGCGCTTGCGTCAGTAAGCACGCGGCGCTGGCGCATCGCGGGGTGTCTTCCGCGACCCGGCGACCTTCACGATCGACAAAACCAAGCACGAACTATCCAATCTTTTTTCTAGCTTAGAGAAAGATGTCTGCATGTTTGATGTCGAACGAGGTCGCAAATTAACCGGGTACAAAGACAGTTGTAGTCACGTCAAGTCAGCTGTTCATGTTGCAATAAACAGATTCGGCATTTTGAGTCATGCTATAATATTTTCGCGATAAAAACTCGTTAGCATAATGATGAACTTTAACTTTTTGCTTATATTAATCGAGCCATTGATGGAAATTAATTTAGCAAATTAATTAGTGTAAAATTGCTTTTAATTAAAATGTTTTTAATCAAAACATTAGGGACGCCGATTCAAATACAATTACTAGACAAAAAGTTCGGAAAGCAATTTATGATTACAAAAAAGTGAAGGCCGGGATGAGTCAAAGTCATCAGACATTAGAGAGCCGCCTCGAGGTCGCTGGTCGCTGTGGCCGGTGTGTTGGCCGCATGCTAAACACCTGTCGAAACACCTCGTTATCCAATGTTGCTGACAGAAAACATACATTGCACTACTACTGGACAACTGACATATTGTCGAGCTATCTACAACAATGTATTGTGTACATTGTTTTCTTATTAGATTGATGTGATCATTTATTATAACATTCTTCAGTAGTCAGTATCAATCTATCGATTATAAAGTTTTAGTACTGACTTAGGTAACATTTAATTTATCAATTGTTAATGCTTTCTAGTGAACATTTCAGTTGATGCAATCAAGGTTATTTTTTGAAATTTTTTAGGTAAAATATTTTTTAAGCTTTCTGCACGCGTTGGGGTCGTGGAAAGTGTTCAGTGAAGCGAGACGCGGGTGCGCGCATTTATTAGTTACGCCACGACTTAGAGGTCGCCGCTAGTTGATTGATTGCTTTAATTTCAATTATGTATTTATATATCTTTCAATGATTTGATAACGATTAAAAGATTCAATGATACCCATTAAAATGAAACCGGTCCAATTTGCGATTGGTAGTTCACAACCAATTTCCTTACGTCAACGTTCATGCAATTTCATAAGATATTTAGTGCTCCAATATTTTGAAACGTTCGAGTCACTTAGTTGAAGTCTATAGAGGTTTATTTACTTTATTTTGAATTTTATGTATCGTATGTAACTGCTCCTATGTGCTTAACATTTTAGAACGTGAATGTAAAACTTTAAATGCGAGCAATATTGTTTTATGACTTCGATGGTTCTTGTGAATGCAAATGTTGAGGAATGTGGGTATTGCGTATAAAATCTAAATGTTTTGTTCTGCTACGTGACTAGACTGCCGAACGTCTGACGCGCAGACATTTCCATCTTCGAACACCAATTATAAGTAACATTGATCGGCTGTAATCACTGTGTTTATCTACGCGGATGCACTTCGAACAAGGAAATGTTAGAGTTGAAGAAAATTCTTATGAATTAAACTGTCAAACACCAAGCGGTCACCGGTGACCGCAACCTATTGTTCTATAATTGTGTCTACAAAACGGGTACTCGACGAGTTAAATCAAGTTTGAAAAGCTTTATGGTTATTACAAGTCGTATATGTATAAGGGAAAACGATTCAAAAACGGTTTCGCTGTTAAATGTAGCGTTATTGTATCCTGTTGCATTGCAAATCAGTAGGCAAGGGAAAGCAAAATAATCGTGTATGTATAGATCAGTATACGTTATTCGTGAGTGAAATATACATTGGGTAGTTGTGTTCTATTGCGTCTGTTAGGAGTCAGTCTTGTTACATTTATTTAAAATAAATATAACATTATTCATTTTATTTTATAAACATATAGTAGACTTGAACTTAACAGTAGGAGACTGGTACACCCTCATTGTATCAGTTAAGTACGTTAATATTAGTTTCATATTAAACGGTTCCTGATGCTCTGAATTCCAAAAGGAACAAATATTCAGTCAAACCCAATTTTCTCTATAGTTGATAAGCTATACACTCGAGCTTGTTAGCATACGACTAAGGAGGCAGGCTATTGTAAGATCATAATGTAAAAAATAAATTACAATACCTTGAACTTGTAAGTAAATAGTTTTTATAAACCAATCTATTTTAGTTCCGTTCTTATTTAGATTGATCGACATTATTTTAGTATTAAGATCTGGTGATTGGATTACCAAATATCTAAATAATCTAGATGGGTAATGAGTAGGTATCCAATCCAACCGAACTTAATTTAATTTTGTTAAATCATCTTAATTTCTGAATTGTAGCGAAACAATACGTAATAGTCATTGCCGTGGTGGCCCGGAGGTTTAAGACGCCCACTTCTCATGCATGAGGGTGCGGGTTCGAAACCTACCAACGGCAAGTACCAATGTGACTTTTTCCGAGTTATATGTACTTTCTAAGATTATTTAGACACCACTGACAAACGGTGAAGGAAAAACATCATGAGGAAACCTGGACTTATAATTTCTAATTATAAGTTTGAAATAACCAAACCGCATTGAGCAAGCGTGGTGATTAACGCTCTAACCTTCTCCGTGTGAGAAGAGGCTTTGCTCAGCAGTGGGCATTTATAGGCTGTTGATGATGATGATGAATACGTAATAGTAACTTTTTGTTTAAAATATGAATCAGTTAGCCAGCTTTATTCGTAGCACTCGATTACCTGAAGCAGTCCAAATTCAATCAAATCTTTTGTATAATTATATCGAATATCGCCGTTATTATCATATTATCATGAGTGACATAGGCGTCATTATCATCGTGTAATTCATGACAGACATTCTTCAATTAGATTATATGTACCTAGCGACTCCCTATTACTATGCGAAATATTGTTTGATAAGGATTATTGATACTACCTCTATAAGTAGGTATAAGAAACGAGAGAAAACTATTTAGTTGTAAAAGTTAACAGTCATTGTCTAGTCTAGTAAAGTATTATTAATTATGTTATGTTTATAGGTTATGTTATATTTAGATAGGTAATATAACATTATGCCTGTAAAAATGTTGTGAAGGCTCGGAGGTTAAGACACCCAGCTTCTCATATATGAGGGTGTGAGTTCATAACCTATCAACAGCAAGTAGGTACGGTAATGTGACTTTTTCCGAGTCATATGTAATTTCTAAGATTATTTAGACACTACTGACAAACGGTGAAGGAAAAAATCGTAAGTAAACCTGGATTTATAATTTCTAATTATAAGTTTGTCAAGGCCAATCCGCATTGAGCAAGCGTGGTGATTAACGCTCAATCCTTCTCCATGTGAGAAGAGGCTTTACTCAGCAGTAAGCATTTATAGGCTGTTGATGAATGAATCCCTGATAATCCTTTAAGGGGAAGGGTTTATTGAATTATGTTATTAAGTTCCATATAACAAGATATAGAATAAATACTTACAATATTAACATATTAAACAAATAGCTCGACTATATTTTATGATTCATTTAACATTTAAACTATTTCAATTCTATCTCATAGGCGTTCATCCAATTTGATCAATTACTACCAATGTAATGCAAGCTTTAATATGTAAATGAACGCTGGAAATTGCATAAACATTATATGCATAATTTCACGTCAAAAATGTGGCTATGTTCGAATATTCATTGACACAAATGCATCTTGATTGATACGTAACCCTTTGCATGTTTCAAAGTGATAAATTTGCAAGTAATGTTAACTTGGTGTATGCGTAAACCGATTTTATGAATATCTAAGTTGGTAGCTGTTGTCACTAACACAGCAAACATTATTAGGTAACAAATATCAATAGACAACGTAATGCTTATTTATATAGAACCTGTTACCACTGTTTCCTAGAAGCGTTCGCGAAAACTCATTTACCGGTTACACTTTGGATAGTAGGCTTCTGATATTTAATAGATTAATTAATCAAATTTAGAAAAGGCTTCCAAAGAGGTCTATTTATAAAATATTAGATTTAATCTAGATAGAAGCTCCGAAGTAAGTACGACACGTGTCTACAAGAAGTTTGAAACCAGTTCTATGATCCGATTGCAAGTCGATTTAATCACTCGCTCACCGACTGGCCGGGTGACCACATAGCAGTCACTGGCGGGAAACGCGCGACCACTTTCATCACCTCATTAATAATATATAAGAATATCCTACAAAAACAACTACACAAGTACCTATATGGCGTGCGTACACACACATATCAATAGGCATGGGAAAGAATATGTACACAAGAAATAAACGGAAATAAAGATAAAACTTAGGTAGAAGGTTGCACAAAATACTAAACAAACGTTGAAAATACTTACGTGCAAGTGAGCGTAACATCCAATATAGCCGGCAAGTACAACAACTATAAAATATTCAAATTCTCATTAACGTTATTGAACTTTTGCAACGTCATAAAATAATTCACGAAAGTTTTAGCAAATCACATCAAACTATCCAGTAGGAAGCACCGAAAAATGTTACAACGCGACACGTAGCGGAAAACTTTTTGTAGTCTACGAACTGCCACTGGCGTCGGATTCGATGTCCGAAAAAGAAAAAAGAGCGATATGTGGTGGCGCGCGGCTGGAGTTGGCGAAACTGACGTACGCAGCGCGCAAGCGCCGCCAAGGTATTGTTAAAAGTTACTTTTACTTACGAGACTTGCGGCGTGCTTGCGTCTGCGCCTCTAGCCACTCCGCACGGGGACCTTGCGACCGTCGCGCCACCCGTTTCACTCTTTGTATGACCACGAAAGAGAAAAACAGAGGTCTCTCTCCTCCTCTGTAATACTACCAGGAAAATGTATGTTTACCGTACGCCTAGGAATACATAAGAATATTTGTGCAAGATTAAATTATTGCTATGCAAAGTGATGGTCACGGTTCATTGAAATTTTAGGTGAGTATTGCCTTATTTCCTTGCGTGGCAAGGCAATGGAATGAACGGAAAAGTGATGATTACCAGGGCGTCAAACACCGTAATTGTTGCATGGAATTTATTAATTACTGTGAAGTCAACCTAATAGCCAATTTAATTTTCATTTTCCACTAATTTGTACCATACTATTATCACAGGTTACGTTCCACTATTTATTTAAATACTAAGTAGGTAATAGAAGAGTATATAATTTTTATTCAATGACTATCTTGCATATTCATTTGCATGCGCGAGCAATGTCACGTGAGATATAATATTAGTATCGATCGAGTGCATTAAAAACCTTGATCTGAAAGCTGTCTGTTACTAAGCAGTATGTTTAATTTTTTAACACGAGCATTGAATACCAAAAAGTATTTGGAGACCCTAGATTTAGTGATTGATTAATACTATACGATTGAGTGATGTACAACCGAATTACAATTTGGGAAAATCTACGTGACAATGTTCGGGAAAACAATAGATTGAGGTGTTTTAGAAAAATAAATTTCCAGCTATTTTGTAGATAAGTACGACTAACAAATGACGAGATTGCCCTTAGCGTTGTATGGTACGATTACGGGCAGGCGTGAGTGTGTAATGAATAAGTCAAAGTGCATTATCGTTGACACATTTACCTCCTGGCGAGGTTAATCAAATTGCTGAGTTAGCTAATAAGTTGTGTTTAGCGCCAAAATGCTAAAGAATTGATGTTGCAACCTGTACTCAAGGGTTTGTACCAATCGTATTGTCTATGAAGTGATGGAGTAGTGAGCCTGGCGCAGTCGTGCCTGCCACGACCTCGTACGCAACCAAATAATCTGATCCAGTTGATACGCCCGCATTGATTAACAAATGTACCAGATATATGAGCCTGATTTCAAATTTCACTAATAGTGACCACAACTTTTTATCTACTTACGCAATTGTTCGTCCTAAATAATAATTCAAAGCAAGTGCAATCTGATAAACATAATGTCAAAAGTTAAGATTGGTGTCGACTATGTGGACAGGATATCAAGGTAGGTAACTATTTGGAAGCTATGTATGGTAGCATTTATTGGTAGCCGCGTTATAATTAATTATTGGTATGAATAGGACAAAAAACTGACGATAAAAATCTCGCTTCATAAAGTCACGTACAGGATATACAGGTAGCAGTTTAATCGTAAATGAGAAACGCGGGTAATAACATCAATTTTCATAATATGACATGAATTAATGAAACATGAATTAATCAAAGTGTTCTCATATGTATTATAAAATACATACTAGTAATTCATTTCTAAAATTAATACAACTTTTTAAAAGAATCACTTAGGTAGTTCTGGAATCAGTTTTCTAGAATTACCTAAAATTTTCGTCCAAAGAAAAGGTGCTAATAATGTGCATAGTAGTACCAAATACTATTTTTTGTTAGTCACAATCCCAAATTATGTATGAATTTCGATGAAAATGATATCACATTATGATAATACATAGAGCCACTTGAGTTAAGAGCTTGTCAAGAAAACTGCTCCAATGTATACTAAGAGCATCTCTATAGTGACATCACTGACAGCTCACAAGGGTCGCGTCTTGAAAATATGATCTCGCTTCAGGAACGTTCCGATATTGAATCTAGTGACGTGATTGGTCAGTGATTTATATTTCTTTCAGAGCTGTCAACTGAATATCGGGCTCTAGCAAATTGGTTAAAGTGACTTCACTGCAATGATGGTACATTTCGTTTATAAGATTTATTTGACAGATATTGCTACAAGTTTGACTGTTATTTTTATCTGTATAAGGACGACAATAATAATAAAATGAAACCATATTAAAAAAAAGAATTACAATTTAACAAAAAATCAGGTCGCCATTACTTTTACGAGTGTCTCTGTAATTTTACAACTTTTATTCATTTCATAAATTATTTAAGAGCACCGCAAATATTTCATCAACCGTTAAGCACCAATTTAAGCCAGGTGGCAACAGTGACATACGAGTAGGGTACTCGTATATATTATATCTAAAATTAAGTTTTCATTCCCCGTCCACAGCGTTGTTACGAATACCAGGCGTTCAATGGGCTTCCTGTCTGCGCTATTACCAGTTTTTATGTGACTTACGCCTTCCTGATCGTTATATAGGTATCACTTATTATGCGTCTAATTATTCTTTCGTAAGTGGATATGGCCATCGGTTTAACTAACAACTGGAAACTATTGTTTAGAGAACACAGGAATTCAGTAGTTGTGGTTCTTGTAGAACGGAGTTTCCAGCATATAGTCGTATTCTTGGTTCGTGAAGAAACCCACACGTTAATAATAAATTCCGAAGGTGTGTGGCGCCATGATACGGTAGGTTGCGCCACCTGTCAGGATCGGCACGACCTACCGCCGTGACGCGGTGCAACCAAGTGCCAAGCATTTACCGCGGGAACTGACATTCTATTGAATACGTATATGAGAAATAGGAGTAATGATACTTTGCTTTTTCTCAATAATGTGGGCTAATAAATATATGTCGTTATTAACTAGAAATACCAATCTGACGCGTTGTGGTTGATTCCAGCATAATAGATAGCAATCAGTAAAGTTGTTTACCTACAGGTAGTAATATTTTTTTTGTATGTACAGTTAAACAAAATGAAGGTTAGACATTAAGTTCAGCATTTTATGGGATAATACTTGAAATTAAACTCAAGGTATTCGCAAAACTATTACTTGCAATTGGCAAGTAATTACTGGGCTAGAGGTCGGCTCACAGATAAACGATCTAGCAGAATATTGAAAAGGGTTCTTCAAAACTTCAATATTTGTTATTGGTAAATATTTTTCAACCAACTTCAAAAAAGAAGGAGGTTCTCTGTTTGACCTGTATGTACGTTTATGCGTAATTATCTCGCGATTATCTGAACAGATTTTGATACAGTTTTCGGAAAAGTATTTGTTAGGAGAAGGTTTTAATATATATTAATTAACCGACTTCAAAAAAGGTTGAGGAAGTAGGTTTTGTTAAATGTAGCTCATATAAAAATTATTGTTAAAATTAAATTTAAAACACCAAAAATCACGAAGTGAAACTACCCTGTTAAGTTCAGTTCGCTACTGTCGCGTTGTATACCTTTTTAACTCGTCGAGTACCGGTTTTGTAGACACAATTATAGAACAATAGGTTGCGGTCATCGGTGACCGCTTGGTGTTTAACAGTTTAATATGCATTTTTTACTCTCTATTTTATTTACAAATGCTAATATTATTGTTTTCCTAGAACCACTTACCTTACGATTTAATATCCGCTTGATGTCATGGCCCGGGTCACAATAATATTAGATATCTAATGTATAACACGCGGAAGCAAACCCACCCAATTAAAGTCCTTCACCATTACGTATGGAATGTAGATACTAACAATAGCTTTCATAATTACAATGAATTACTAACTCACGTTTTAAATAACATTCAACTATTAACAAATCTCATACATTATTATTATCTTGAATGTTATAAGACAAATCATTTTCGTTTAGCCGTGTACTGGTGATTAGGAAAGTTGAAATAAAGTTATAATAAGTTATTTTGTCAACGTCAGATAACGTGTCACTGCGCAATACACATTACTCAGAGTTCCTGACATTTTCGATCAGCCGATGTTCGGCCATAAAAGCTTTAGTCATAGACAAGCTCATGACATGTTAAAGGTCAATGTTATTTATTTATTTATTTATTTATATATACTTTATTGCACACATAGAAAAATTGTAAGCATTTCAATAGTAATTTGAGTACAATGGGCGGTCTTATCGCACGCGGCGATTTCTTCCAGACAACCTTTCGATGGAATTTTTGAAAAGAATCTGGGAATGGGTGGTAGATGCACAATAAAAGAAAACCAAAATAGAAGAAAAACAATAAAAAACAAATTAAACAATCAATGAAACTTACAGACTTATTATAATACATAAAAGATAAAAATGGCAATACTATGTAATAAATATATACTTAAATGTAAAATGATAACTATATATAGTTACGTGTATGAGTATGTGTGTGTGTGTGGTGTGTGTGTGTGTGTGTGTGTGATGTGTTTATCCATAATGAAAGGACAAAAGCATTTCTACAGTGACAGGTAGTGTTCCTTCACACGTCCCTTAAACTGACCCAGAGTTTGAGCACGTCGCACTTCCACCGGCAGCGCATTCCACAACCGAGCCGCTTGTATTGTGAAAGACTTGTCATAAAAGCAAGTGGAGTGCTTACAAATGCTGAGCTTAAGATTCTCCGATGATCTCAGGAACTTCGAATGTGTGACACCCAGGAACTGGAAACGTTCCTTTAAATAGAAAGGGGCAGCAGGATTAAAAAGTACATTAAATAGTAACGAAAGGATATGAGCGTTCCGGCGAAGGCGGATAGGCAGCCATCTGAGCTTACTACGAAATTCAGAAACATGATCATACTTGCGCAAACCAAATATAAATCTGATAGAAAGGTTTTGAAGGCGCTCAAGCTTGTCCAATTGTTCTTGGGTGAGATCTAGATAGCTGACATCAGCATAGTCGAGTATTGGTAGAAGAAGAGACTGTGCAAGTGCAATTTTGGTTTTTGTGGGTAAGAAATTACGAAGACGCCTTAAGGAGCCCGCTGAAGCAAACAATTTCCGACTGACCACCTGCAATTGCTTATTCCAGGAGAGGTTACTGTCAATGTAAATCCCCAAGTTCTTAACATCG